TGCACCCTTTCCACGCACATCATCTGAAAGCGTGGTAAAAAAAACCCAAACTGCGAGAGCCCCTCGGCCTTTAATCGCAGGTGTGGTAACCAAACAACCGTAAACCATACACGTCTTACCAATGCCCTGGAGTGGTAACCCTCCTTAGTGATCAAGTTGGTTTTGCTGATTGCGAATCGGCTTCGCATGAAGTTTCGATACTGCTTCACGACAGCGCCAAGGCCTCATGACTTAGCTCTTCCATGGCCCATTATCCGAGAGAGGGGGCCGGCGGCAGGGGGCGAAGCCCTTACGGATAAATACATGCTATACATATGTTATATACTAACACCTCTACAGGACCAAAAAAACTGAACTTTCCCGGGAATTGCCCGCAACTTCTCTGGAATTTGATAGAATACACGGTCGGTTCAACCCTGTCCCTCCGGCCCACCTTACAAGGCTAGGCAGAGCAACTGCGCTGGCGGAAGAGCACTGACAACGGGGATGCCGCTTGAAGCGAAGCGCGCCACGAGGCAGGAAAATGGAAGGAGACAGAGAAGGAACAAGGGCTGCTCAGGGGCCGCTCGGGGGGACGGGCCACACCCGGAGCGAGTGGCGCGGCTGGCCCCGCCGGCGGGGGAGCGGCGGCTGCTGCGACGGGGCCTGGCGGAGGCGGGGCGCCCAACGCAGGAACAAGCGTCGGCATCGAATCGGGAATTCGGATCGGATCGAAAAGTGCATCGAGTCGTGCCGCGTCGGCTCGGGGTCGGAATCAAATCGAATCGGCGGCACCAGGATAAATCACAGTGCCATAACATCGGTCGCTTCGGATCGCCCAGAAATCGGAATCGACCGAACCGGGCCAGCCGGAGCCGATATTGGATCGGATCGGTCGGATCGAGGTGAACCCTGCAACGGCGCCGATCGCAAACCAGACCTTTGCGTAATCACAACCATCGTAGTCTGAACGCATAAAGAACGACTCCCGCCCCCCGCCTGAGGAACGTCAGACCAAGCAGACGGCAATGGCCTCGCTGACAGGGCGCCTACACTTGTGGCTGCCATGGCAATGGACACTCTAACAATCCGATCATTGAACTAAAAAGTGTTCAACATGTGTAAAAGCATGTTCTAAACATGTTTCAAGCATATTGCTTACATGCTAACTACATGTTTAACACATGTTTTAGACATCTGGAAACTATTTGGCAGCATGCCTCCTCTCCATTGATCGTCCTCCACAAGCCTACACTTACGCACAGTCGCCAAAATTGCAAAACGCTGACATCCAAAACCAATAGTTTGTGGGGGCTGGGGTCGGTTTCCCACCGTTCATAGTCGCCGACCCTGGGCTGGGGGAGGGCCGCGCGCCTCCAGTGCTCGCCGCCGTCCTCGCGGGCTGCACCCAAACATGATCTAATAACAAAACCGATGTTCTCAGAACAGAAACCCGATGCTGCAAAAAACAAGACAGCCTCAGCCAGAAATGCTCGAATGTCCGGCAGACCGCACAAGGTTCTTAGAACACCACGTGGTGGGCCTACAGGCAACCGGGACGCTTCGCCACTGCTCGATCGGCTGGGGGACCCGCGCGCCTCCAGTGCTCGCCGCCGTCCTCGCCGGCGGCGCGCCGCTTGCCGGCGGCCGCCCACCGCGCCTCGTCCGCGGCGCGGGCGGCGCCGAGGCGCGCGGCGCGCGCGTCGCCCTGCGCCTGCGGGGCGCGCGGCGGCGGGCGGCCTTCGGCGGGCGGCGGCCCGCGACGGCCTTCGGCGGGCGGGAGGCGGCAACGCCGTGGACAGCGGTGACTACCTACCAGACCACCCCAACCCAACCCGAAGACCCGAATTTCGGGTGGGGGGGGGTACGGGTTCCATATGTGTTTTCTCGATGTTCCCCGACCCCCCCCCCCCCACTGGAAATGGAGGTCAATTTGAGGCCTTCGGGTTGGGCTGGGGTGGTTTGGTGGGTGATGAAGCGGGCGGCGGCCACGCGACGGGCCTTCGAGCGGTCGGGAGCGGCAAACGCATTGGTGGGTCGGCGGGCGGCGGCGCCAGGGCGGGGCGGCGCGGCGGCCCATCGGCCTCGGCGGCGGCGTAGCGGCTGCCAGGGAATGGAAAATTAAAACAAAAAAACAAAAATGCTAATTGCGTCAACAGAAGCTTCTCCGCTCGGGAAACTTGCAGGCTTCGGGGCGCCGGGAGACCTCGTGTCGAAAGATCACGGCATCCGAGGTCTGGGTGCTCCTCTCCTCCTCCCTCCTCCTCCTCCTCCTCCTCCTCCTCACCCTCCTCCTCCTCCTCCTCCTCCTCCTCCTGCTCCCTCCTCCTCCTCCTCCTCCTCCTCCCCCTCATCCGCCTCCCTCCATCTCCTCTCTTCCTCCTCCTCCTCCTCCTCCACCTCCGCCTCCTCCCCTCCTCCTCCTCCTCCTCCTCCTCCTCCTCCTCCTTTTATTTTCACAGCATGCGGTTAGGATATACAACACGTGTCCTTGTACACGGTATGCAGCGGAATTAATGCAAGATGCGCGTGCGCGGCGTATGGTACACCAAATTCTGTAGTCTAAAAGAGTATGGAATACGGGGTGGTATCGTGACACAGAATTGCATTGCCGGCGTCCCCTGTGTGCGGACACCACCTGTTTGCAAGCCACATGATGCACGACATGTTGACCGAACATCTCCTCGTTCAAAATACGTTAATACAGCACGTTGTAGTACGAACTGTTTGTATGATCCATGTCATCAAATTCAACAAACATAGTATGGCGAAAGACCAAGCCGTATGCAGTTGCGAATACAGTCGTTGCGGGTATGGACGTCGGGGGATCTCCTTATGGCGCCAATGAAGCATGCGAAGGGTGTGCCGATGTGGGGCGGGGCCGCCATGTGGGCGCTGCCACTGTTGCTTCAGGCGGAAAGCACTACGGGGCCGCGAAAAGTGTTAGGGATGCGCCGCAGTGGGGCGGGGCTGCCACTGGGGCCTTCGGTGGAGCTCCCTATGGGGCAGCGAAACAATGTAATGGGTGGGGAAGCGCATGCGAGTACAGCCACCGGGGCCTTCGGTGAAGCTCCCTATGAGGCCACGAAGCGCTGTGCTGGGTGGGGGGAACGCATGTGAACGCCGCCATTGGGGCCTTCGGTGGAGTTCCTCATAGGGCCACGAAACGCTGCGCTGGGAGGAAACACATGCGAGTGCATCCACTGGGGGCTTCGGTGGAGCTCCCTATGGGGCCACGAAACGCTGTACTGGGTGGGAAGTGACGCATGCGGGCGGTGCCACTGGGGCCTTCGGTGGAGCTCCCTATGGGGCCACCAAACGTTGTACTGGGTGGGGTGTGACGCACGCGGGCGGTGCCACTGGGGCCTTCGGTGGAGCTCCCTGTGGGGCAACGAAACAATGTAATGGGTGGGGAAGCGCATGCGAGTACAGCCACCGGGGCCTTCGGTGAAGCTCCCTATGAGGCCACGAAGCGCTGTGCTAGGTGGGGGGGGACGCATGTGAACACCGCCACTGGAGCCTTCGGTGGAGTTCCTCACGGGGCCACGAAGCGCTGCGCTGAGAGGACTGGGGGCTTCGGTGGAGCTCCCTGCGGGCGGTGCCACTGGGGCCTTCGGTGGAGCTCCCTATGGGGCCACGAAACGCTGCACTGGGTGGGGGGTGACGCACGCGGGCGGTGCCGCTGGGGCCTTCGGTGGAGCTCCCTATGTGGCCAAGAAACGCTGTACTGGGTGGGGTGTGACGCATGCGGGCAGTGCCACTGGGGCCTTCGGTGGAGCTCCCTATGGGGGCACGAAACGTTGTACTGGGTGGGTGGGGTGTGACGCACGCGGGCGGTGCCACTGGGGCCTTCGGTGGAGCTCCCTGTGGGGCCACGGAACGCTGCACTGGGTGGGGTGACGCACGCGGGCGGTGCCACTGGGGCCTTCGGTGGAGCTCCCTGTGGGGCCACGGAACGCTGCACTGGGTGGGGGTGACGCACGCGGGCGGTGCCACTGGGGCCTTCGGTGGAGCTCCCTATGGGGCCACGAAGCGCTGCACTGGGTGGGGGGTGACGCATGCGGGCTGTACCACTGAGGCCTTTGGTGGAGCTCCCTATGGGGCCACGGAACGTGTGAGGTCGCTGATGATGGCGATGATGCTGCTGATGCTGATGCTGATGCTGATGCTGCTGATGGTGATGGTGATGGTGATGATGATGATGATGATGATGATGATGATGATGATGATGATGATGATGATGATGATGATGATGATGGCGATGATGATGATGATGATGATGATGATGATGATGATGATGATGATGATGATGATGATGATGATGATGATGATGATGATGATGGCGATGATGATGATCCTGATGATGATGATGGTGGTGATGATGATGGTGATGATGGTGATGATGATGATGATGGTGATGATGATGATGGTGATGATGATGGTGATGATGGTGATGATGATGATGATGATGGTGATGATGATGGTGATGATGATGATGATCCTGATGATGATGATGGTGATGATGATGGTGATGACGATGATGATGTCGCTGATGGTGGCGATTATGCTGATGATAATGAAGATGATGATGATGATGATGATGATGATGATGATGGTGATGATGGTGATGATAATGTTGAGAGGAGGGAGGAAGGGAGGAGGAAGCAAGGAAGGAACGCGGGGACCGTCTCTTCAAAACGAGGACCCAATACCACAGGATAGTTCGGAAAAACGCCTGTGCGAACGTTGGCGGGATAGGCCGAATGACACTGTATACCTCCCCACGGCAGCGCCGCACGAAGAGGCCAACTTGGACTGCCTGAACTTGTCACTTGCAGCGCACACCTGTAAAATCCGGTCTATCCCTATGGCAGGCTGCGGGGACCTGGGCAGCGGAGAGGACCCAGGGGGGCAAACTTCCGATAGGACGAAAAGGAAGGATAGTGGCTCAAATCACGTAGCTGCTCTTCCTGGCGCCTCCCGGCGCCCATGCATCGAGGCAAGGAGCCCGGCGACGGGGCCGAAACCAGCTGCATGCAGCAGGATGCGCATCCCCCCTGTTTATGTTCCCCGCTGCCGAATGGGAACGAGGGGGGAGGGAATGGCCCACGGGGGGGGAACCGGAGCGTGGAATCTGCGATGAATCGACGAGGAGTCGGCGACCGGTCCTCAGCACAGGCACCGAGTGCTCCTGGGCGGGGTGGGGCACCCAGGTCCCGACCGGCAGTGCATGGGCGACTGGAGGTCGATGCGTCCCCCCCTCGGCCAGTCCCCCCCCCCCACGTCGTCGCCCCCGCGTCTTCGGATCATAGCTCGGCTCTCTCCCGCGGCCGTTCGGGACGATCTGGGCACCCCTGGAACGCTCTCGGCGAGGCGCAGCTGACGGGAAGCATCCCGCGACGCTGGAAAACCGCCGAGGACCGCAAAAAGACCCGAGCACATCGAACTTCGAACCTCAAACCTTTTCGTCCGCACAACACCCTCCACCCCGAGACGACAACCACGACAACGACCACGACCACGACCACGACGACGACGACGACGACGACGACCACGACTCATTTTTCGACGACGTTGAGGCTCTGAATCTGGCATTGGTGAAGACTTGATCAACGCTCCAAGCGCACAAGCGCTCAAGCGCGAAGCAAAAAACGTCTCGATAGGAACCGGCCTTCGAGGCACAAGTCGTCTCGAGAGGAATCAGGCACGACGACGACGACGATGACGATGACGAGGCCGCTGAGGCCGCGGAGCGGGCGGGCGGGCGCGGAGGGCGGAAACTGCGCCTCGTCCTCCGCCTCCCGGTCCGCCCTCGCCAGCTCGCGCTCGCGCTCGCGTTCGCGCTCTTCGCGCTCCCGCTCCTGCGGGGGGCAGGTCTGCGCTGGACCAGATCGTGAAATCGGATCGGATCGAGAGCGACGAATCGGATCGGTATCGAACCGCCGCTGGCTGGCCCCGGCCGATGCCGGTGCATATAGAGCCGGATCGCACCGAATTGGAATCGCGGCCGCAGCCGGCGAATCGAATCGCATGGAATCGGATCGTAGGCGGCCCTGGGGGTTGGACGGCTGGCTGCTTTACCTTTTTCTGCGCGCAGCACGGCTCTTCACCTCGGGCTGGGCGAACGGCACGAGGACCACGAGAAAGACCGGCGGAACTCCCACGGAATGGCTCGGCCGAGGCCCGAGGGTGCGAGAGGGCACGGCAAAAAACGGTGCACCCTCCCCGCGGAGGGCCAAACCCTCGAGCCGAGGGAAGGGAGGCTAGACCTGGATCTCAGGGAGGAGGAGGAGGAGGAGGAGGAGGAGGAGGACGACGAACGGGAACAGGAACAGGAACAGGAGAAGGATGAGGAGCAGGGGGCACGATGAACTCCCAGTGGACGCGAAGCCGGCACCCCTCATCAAACGCCACAGACGAGGAGGGAACATATGACGAGGCCAGCCACGAGCACAACCTGGTAAGAGCGACTGAGGGTTACTAAGCACCGTTTGGAAGCCATTGAGCTGGATTGGGCTGGACTTTACCCTGGTTGACTCACAGGGGGGTTCAGCTGAAAGGGGGTGGTGCAATAGATTTTGGACGATTGTACTGCAACTGTATTGCGCCAGAAAATTAGATTGCATTGTATTGCAGCTAATGCTTCGTACGCAAAAATCAAGCAATACAATTGCAAACTGGAATGCATTGCACGCCCTAAATCGATTGCAACCCTACAACTATATTGCACCAAATCGGTTGCACCACCCACTTTCAACTGGACCCCCTTTCGGGTCAAGCAGATTTACCCTGGACTGTGGCCGATCAAGACAGATGAAGCGGGATTGAGCGGAAGCAAGCAGAATTGTGCCAGACCAGGGTGTTTTTTTCGACCACGGACATACAAGCCACAATGCTGCATTTAGGCTCCCAGGAGCTGCATCCGAAGCTCTAGGATGGTAGCTGGCGTGGACCCTAAACAGTGTGTTTATATCAAAATACCTGGTGCAATCTATGTTGTGGACCTGAATGTTACCCATGATTTGACACATCCCACGCTCTTGCAAACATCCCACCCACCCACCCGCAACTTGGTTTGCAAAACCTCTGAAGACCGACTACGACGACACCGACGACAACGACTACGACGACACCGACGACGTCTCCGACGACTTCGACGACGACAACGACGCCGACGCCGACGACGACGAAGACGACGACGAAGACGACGACGACGACGCCAACGAAGACGACGACGAGGGAGGATGAAGGACGACGACGGCGACAACGACGACAACGACGACAACGACGAGAGAGGAGGGAGGACGGCGACGACGCGAACGACGAAGAAGGAGGAAGGACGGCGACGTCGACGACGACGACAACGACGAGGGAGGAGGGAGGACGACGACGACAACGACGACGACGACGACGACGACGACGGCGACGAAATAGGAGGGACGACGACGAGACGCCGACGACGGACGACGACGACGACGACGAGGGAGGAAGAGGAAGGACGACCACGGCGACAACGACGACGGAAACGACCACGACGCCAAAGAGGACGACGACGACGACGAACACGAGGAAAGACAGAGGACGACGTAGGCGACGACGACGACGACGACGACGACGCGGGAGGAGGGAGGACGGCGACGACGACGACGACGACGACGACGACGCCAGAGCGCGCGCGCGCACGCTTGTGTTGAAAATCCGTGTTGCAAAATCTTGTGTTTTTGTATGTTGTTTGGACACACGATTTCGAAATCCTTCCGAAACCGATGGGTTTTGAAGGTTTTCGGCATACGCGCGCGACGACGCGCGCGTCTGCACTTCGTCCCATTTTTTGCAGAGATTTCTCGCGACGGCACACGCGCAAGGGCGTTCGACAGATTTCGGCATGCGCGCGCGAAGCCCGTTTAATAGCATTTTGCGAAAATCTTACAAAATATATGGTTTCCTCAAGATTTCGCAAGAGCTCGCGCGTAAGCTTTCTTAGCAAATCAGTGTTGCGAACCCCTGTGTTTTTGTATGTGTTTTGGACACTCGATTGCGAAATCCTTCCGGCACCGAGGATGTTTGAAGGATTTCGGCATGCGCGCGCGACGACGCGCGCGTGTGCACTTCGTCATATTTTTTGCCAGGGATCCGTGAAAAAGTGCTATGTTAGAGCAAAAATGTCACCGCATTGTGTTTTTTTGACAAGGGAACCTCAGGGGGGGGATACCGGCTGGCCTGGGACATTGCGATTTCATATTTAGGATGGCCATGTGGTCAGAATCATACATGGTTTACATACCCGAAAGGGGGAGTGATAACTGAGGGGGGGTAGAGTCTATTCTGTATTTAGGAACGAGAACCTGTGATGCACAATCACTGTGGTACACATTACGTAATGTCATATGTTGTGCAAAAAAAACCATCTATGTCGCGCACTACGAGTACCTCTATACACGTATGGAGCAGCAGATGCTCCCAATTCAACGCTTGCACTTGAAGGGTCCTGGCGGATCTTAAAAGATTTGGCGGAAACGGGCGGCCGATTTCGGTGGGCCGCCAAGTTCCCGGGTTCCGGGTTCCCGGGTTCCCGGCTGTTGGTTGCGGGCCGATTTCGGTGGACAGCGGGGTTCCCGGGTTTCTGGGTTCCCGGCTTTCTGGTCGATCTCCTTACCGATCGGTCTTACCATCGATATCATTACCCACATCTCTATCGATGTCACGGTCGATCTCATTATCAAATTTCACACTGGATCTCACTATAGATCACACGAGCGACCTCACGATCGATCTCACTATCGATCTCACTGAAACGACTTCACGATCGGTCGCATGACCGACCTTATTGTCGCCCTCACTATCGATCCCAAGATCGATCTCACGATCGATCCCTATCGATCTCACAATACAAATCACAAGTTTCGAAACCATCCACTGTTTGGGGTTGTTCTCTGGTGCAATAGGGTAGTCTAAGTTGTGCAGAATCGATCTGTGACGATCCCCGGGCCCGAAAGATGCAGCATTGCCACGCGCGAAGAAGTCACGAAATACCGTCGAATGTCGCCGCCGCCGCCGTCTCCGTCGCCGTCGTCGTCACCGCCGCCGCCGAAGCCGCCGCCGTCGTCGTCGTCGTCGTCGTCGCCGCCGCCGCCGTCGTCGTCGGATGCCTGCGGCTTAGGGGCGGCGCGGCGGTCCTGGCGCCTGCGGAGCACCCTGGGGTCGTGCTGGTTCGCCTCGCGGAGCGCGCCTGCTCCTCCTCCTCCTCCTCCTCAAAATTCCTACTCCTCCCCCCTCCTCCTCCTCCTCGATCATCCTCCTCCTCGCTCCTCCTCCTCCTCCTACTCCTCCTCCTCGCTCCTCCTCCTCCTCGCTCCTCCTCGCCCTTCCGCGTTCCTCCTCCTCCTCCTCCTCCTCCTCCTCCTCCTCCTCCTCCTCCTCCTCCTCCTCCTCCTCCACTCCTCCCCCTCCTCCTCCTCCTCCTCCTCCTCCTCCTCCTCCTCCCCTCCTCCTCCTCCTCCTCCTCCTCCTCCTCCCTCCTCCTCCTCCTTCCCTCCTCCTCCTCCTCCTCCTCCTCCTCCTCCTCCTCCTCCTCCTCCTTCCTCCTCCTCCTCCTCCTCCTCCTGTCCTCCTCCTCCTCCTCCTCCTCCTCATCATCATCATCAGCAGCATCATCATCAGCAGTATCAGCATCCAGTCCTTCTCCGTATAGATAACTCCTCCCTGTCGCACCCCAAGGCCAGTTTTTAGGGCGGGGCCTGAGACTTCCTCCCCATGTATGACTCTGAAGCGTAAAAAGTGGCAACGGTTTCACACATGGAGGGCGGGTCGCTTTCAAAACGTGGATCTCGCCTCAGCGCCGCGCACAGTCGCTTTAAAAAGTTGCAAGAGCTTCACGGATTGAGGGCGGGTGGTTTTCAAAATGTAACTCTCGCCTTAGCGCCGCGCACATCCGCTTTTAAAACATGTGCAAGAGTTTCACGGATTGAGGGCGGGTCGTTTTCAAAATGTGGCTCTCGTCTTAGCGCCGCGAACATTCCTTTCTATGTGCAAGAGCTTCACGGATTGAGGACGGATGGTTTTCAAAATGCGGCTCTCGTCTTAGCGCCGCGCACATTCGCTTTAACAATGTGCAACAGTTTCACTGATTGAGGGCGGTTCCTTTTCAAAAAGTGGCTCTCGTCATAGCGCCGCGCACATTCGTTTTTATGTGCACAAGCTTCACGGATTCCCATGATCAACGCACCAGAAATGGCGTCTTGGAAGGATTCAGGATTCGCGGGCGCAACAGTTATGTTGATTCGCTGTGTTGAAGTCCCAGAAAAGTCGCGTTCTGGCACGATTCTGGATCGTCAAGACGTAGCAATCAGGTTGATACGTGGCGTTGAAATCCCGGGAACAATGTTTTGGCACGCTTCAGGATCTTCAAACTGTTGTCTTCCAACGAGGCAGTTCTCTCTATTGAAATGAACCGTTGTAGGGGCCAACCTCCTCCTCCTCCTCCTCCTCCTACTCTTCCTCCTCCTCCTCCTTCTTGTCCTCCTCCTCCTCCTCCTCCTCCTCATCATCATCATCAGCAGCATCATCATCAGCAGTATCAGCATCCAGTCCTTCTCCGTATAGATAACTCCTCCCTGTCGCACCCCAAGGCCAGTTTTTAGGGCGGGGCCTGAGACTTCCTCCCCATGTATGACTCTGAAGCGTAAAAAGTGGCAACGGTTTCACACATGGAGGGCGGGTCGCTTTCAAAACGTGGATCTCGCCTCAGCGCCGCGCACAGTCGCTTTAAAAAGTTGCAAGAGCTTCACGGATTGAGGGCGGGTGGTTTTCAAAATGTAACTCTCGCCTTAGCGCCGCGCACATCCGCTTTTAAAACATGTGCAAGAGTTTCACGGATTGAGGGCGGGTCGTTTTCAAAATGTGGCTCTCGTCTTAGCGCCGCGAACATTCCTTTCTATGTGCAAGAGCTTCACGGATTGAGGACGGATGGTTTTCAAAATGCGGCTCTCGTCTTAGCGCCGCGCACATTCGCTTTAACAATGTGCAACAGTTTCACTGATTGAGGGCGGCTCCTTTTCAAAAAGTGGCTCTCGTCATAGCGCCGCGCACATTCGTTTTTATGTGCACAAGCTTCACGGATTCCCATGATCAACGCACCAGAAATGGCGTCTTGGAAGGATTCAGGATTCGCGGGCGCAACAGTTATGTTGATTCGCTGTGTTGAAGTCCCAGAAAAGTCGCGTTCTGGCACGATTCTGGATCGTCAAGACGTAGCAATCAGGTTGATACGTGGCGTTGAAATCCCGGGAACAATGTTTTGGCACGCTTCAGGATCTTCAAACTGTTGTCTTCCAACGAGGCAGTTCTCTCTATTGAAATGAACCGTTGTAGGGGCCTATGGAAAGAGAGCTTGGAGGGAGGGTCAATTCCAGCATCGTTGATGACTCTTGGGTTTCCACTCGTCTTCCTCCTCCTCCTCGTCATCATCATCATCATCATCATCATCATCATCAGCAGCATCATCATCATGATCAGCATCATTATTATCATCATCATCATCAGCATCAGCATCAGCATCAGCATCAGCATCAGCATCAGCATCAGCATCAGCATCATCATCATCATCATCATCATCATCATCATCATCATCATCATCATCATCATCATCATCACCCTCCCCATCCTCTTCCTCCTCCCTCCCTCCTCCCTCCCTCCCTCCCTCCCTCCGGGAGGGAGGGAGGAGGGAGGGGGAGGGAGGGAGGAGGGAGGAGAGGGAGGAGGGAGGAGGAGGAGGAGGAGGAGGGAGGAGGGGAGGCTCCCTCCCTCCTCCCTCCCTCCCTCCCTCCTCCCTCCTCCCTCCTCTTCCGTAGCCATGTTGGCTCAGGCCACGGCTGGCCCAGCCCTGATGGGGGCGCAGGCGGAGTGTGTGCGCGCGCGTTGGCGCGGGCTGGGCGCGCGAAGGGGCCCGCTGGTGCGGCACGGGCTGTGCGTCGCACGCTGCTACACGGCGGCTGCCGCCGCGGAGCTGATGCTGCGCTTGGGCGTTGCTCGAAGGCGACGACGCCGTGCTGGGCGGCGAGGCGCTCGTAGCCACGGAAGCCGTGGTAAATGCGCAGGGCCGCGGCTATGGTCCGTGCCGACGGCACGGCGCGCTGGTGCCCGAGCTGCTGCAGCATGGTGCGGAAGTCGTCGAATCGCAGGACGCATGCTGCGCCTGGCGGACGGCGGTGGCCGGGAGGGCGACTGCGCCCTCGAGAGCCACGAGCAGATCCTGCACGGCGCAGGGCGGCGCCTCGCCCTGGGCCAGAAGGCAAACGCCGGAAGACGGCGTGCCCTCGCCGAGGAGCAGCCCGCCTTGGTGAGGCGGTGGGCGGCGCTGCGTGCGGGCAGACGCTGGGCAGCCCACCCGAACTCTGGCCTGATGGCCGAGGTCGGCGCGGCGCTCGTCACGCTCGCGGCGACCAGTTCGATCCCAAGCAGCTCGTCGCGGATCGTTTCTGGCGCCCGATCGTTGTCGATCTTTTCATCCTCGTTCTCCTCCTCCTCCTCCTCCTCCTCCTCCTCCTTCTCCTCCCCCTCCTGCTCCTCCCTCCTCCCCTCCTCCTCCTCCCTCCTCCTCCTCCTCCTCCTCCTCCTCCTCCTCCTCCTCCTCCTCCGCTCCTCCTCAGACTTTCCTCATGGCAGTTTTCAGCCTCTGGGGGCCCTGGACCCACGATCGTCGAAAAACACGGACCGCCAGCCCAAGGGAGGGGGTCGAGATCTCCGGGGGTCCACCACGTGGGAAAATCACGACGTCCGAGTTCTGGGGAGGCGGGTCATGGACCTCCAGGGGGTCTTACCTCAAAATCTGGGCGACGCTTCAAAAAAAAAAAAAAAGCAGCAGCCTTTCGGTCTCCAGAGGGCTCATGGACGGCCGGCGACCTGATTTGTTCGATCGGCGGCGTTTCATAAAATTCGGCCTCTGGGGCCCTTTTGTGGCCACCCGCACCATCAAACATGGATTTGGGACGGAGAACTACCCCTGGGGAAGCGGTCGGGACCTCTGGGGCCGCGGACAAGAATTCTTTGTATAAACGCCCCAGGGTCCCATGAGCAGCTGGGGCTCCTGCACATCGAACTCGCTGGCCGACCAAACGACGTGGTGTACAGACACATCGAGCCCCTCCGATGGACTCCGGGGGCTCCCCCCAGACCCAGACAACGCAACAAGGACGCGACAACCTTTCTGGCCTCCAGAGGGCCGCTTCCCGGCCCCCGGGGCCGGCGACAAGAGCGCAATGACGGACGAGGAGCCCCCCCCCAGAACAGGCAGTTCATCCCGAACCAGTCTTGACTGGCCTGGGGCCCACGGAGGGCCCCGAACCCTGACAAGGACAGAACCCCGCGACCCCCGACGTCATGAGTCTGTTCATAACGTCGAGCCCCAAAGGTCTCGACCAACTCCCTGGGGCCAGCTTCTCATCCGGAGCCGTTGTTTGACAGTCCCGGGGCCCGGTGAGGGCTGCCAGAGCCCGAAAGTAGCAGAAAATCATCTGTCGTGATTTCTGTCATGACCCGAGGGGGTCTGGGGAAAGCCCCTGCCCCCCCCCCCCACACACCTCCCTCATGGCGGGACCCCCTCCCTTCATGGCGGGAATAATGAGAGGGCGCGACGTGCGAGGATCGAACATTGAGGTCTTGATCATCGGGGACCCCCCGAAAGCCTCCAGAGAGCCTCCGAAAAGGCGCCTGGGTGCCTCAGTCCATCAAAAGACTATTTTTTTGAGGACCTCCACCGAACTCGGGGAAGAGAGAATAGGAGGAACAAGGAGGTACGAGGGACCCGGGAGGAACGGAACGAAAGAGGACGAGGAGGAGGAGGGCGACCGACGAGAACGACGACGAGTGGCAGACACGCAACCTGCGAATCGCCCGCGACCCACCCGCGACCCGACCGCCACCAACACGCGTCCCAACCACGACCCACCCACGAGCCACA